GGGTGCCCAGCCTCCGACTTGGATGCCTTTGGGTGAAGCCATCAGTCACTGCAGACGCTGCAGCTGAGCAGGGAGCTTGGATTTAGAAAGCAGTGTGTCTCTGGATTTTGTGACAGTCGCAACCTAAACATACAGTAGATTCTTTGCTACGTCCCTTAGGACTGTCAAACAGATGTACAAAATATGAGCTGGTTCCAGGCAGGGGATGTTATGGGCTGTCCCAGGGTGATTCCCTACTCAGCCATGATGTGTAGTTTATGTACCAAGAGTTTGAGAACAGATACAACCTCGCTAACTGTCAGACCCCACAGGTTAATCCCCACAGCATTAGGAGCAGAACCCGGTGAAAGCTGAGACTGAAGAGGAGGTCAGTGCCTTTCGTAGAGCTCCTTACTGCAGTGTGGAAGGCAGTTCCTCCCTTTCTGATCCAAGTGCTGAATCTTGCTAGCTTTTATAGGCAGTGACTCTTACTTTTGAAGTAGGGGAGAGAATCTGTATGACTATTGCACTTTCTGTGTATTTTAAAGGAATTGGGGGACTTTGAATTGGATCCCATCTTTGTTACAACAATTCAGATTGAATTAAGCTACACAGTCGTCAGACAACAGGCACAGCACTGCTTCCATAGGACATGGTGTGCTTGCAATGTGGAGAGCAGTGTCTGAAGGATGTAAGCTATACGTGTAGTTACTTTTGTCCTTGCACGGCTTGTCAGTGCTCTTTTTCTTCTTGGTATTCGTCCCTTTCTTACTAATTAAATGACAGCTCTCTATAGCCAGGGATTGAATTATTCAATAATTCCTGCCTGCAGCCATCAACAGATAGGGTGGAAGTTATTTTTTTAATACGAATGATTGGGTTCCTGAGGTTTTGATCAAATTAAACAGAAGATCAAATTAGCCAGTGAGTGAATTAACTGGAAGATGCAATAAGAAGACAATGATTTGCAGAGCAAAGAAAACATAGTAGGCAGCTGTCAGATTTCTGGCTTTGGGCTCTCTGCAGCCCTGTCATTAACATGTCACTGTTGGTCCAGCCAAAAGCACAAAGATCAAGTAATAAAGATGACCCTCTCTGAGCAATTGAGATGTCTGAGGACTCAGTGTTTCTGTATTTCAGCCCTGCAGGACCTGGAGCCACAGCAGCTGCTTCTCTTTGTTCAGTCCTTTGGAATCCCAGTTTCCAGCATGAGCAAACTTCTGCAGTACCTGGATCAGGCAGTATCTCATGACCCACAGACGCTAGAGCAGAACATCATGGACAAAAGTAAGAGCTTCATATGAGGCTGACTACGCATTTTACTTTTTCTTGAACAGTTTTCACGTGTATCTCCTGTAACTTCCTTGGAAAAATCCAAACTACTTCAGCAAACTCTGTGCACAGGCTGCTTTGGCAGCCTCTTGTCACTGTAGACACCTCCCTAGAGCTTGTCTGGATGGCCCTTGGCTGTATTTCCTGAAGCAGAGAAGGATTTTCTGAATTGGATTGTACAGAGTAAAAAGTAATTTGGAGGCTTACTTGTGAAAGAAATAAGGCTTAAAAGCATCATGTTTACAAAGTCCATGGGAACAGCAAATTCCCTTCACTGTGGGAGCTATACAAAGAGCAACCAATTCTGTTCTGCTTTACTGAAGAGGGCAAGATGATGATGTGTTTATATCTTTTCTTTTTTCAGACTACATGGCTCACCTTGTGGAGGTTCAACATGAGAGAGGAGCGACAGGAGGCCAGACTTTCCACTCCCTGCTCACTGCATCCTTACCAGCCCGCCGAGGTACTGCCTGGGATAGCATAAACTTCCAAATATCAAAGTCGTCTTCAAACTTCCTTCCTCCGTCGCTGTTGAGAGGGACAGGAAGAGCTGTCTTCAGAAGGGGCTGTATTGCAATATATAAGCAAGCTGCAGTTAGACACCAGTCCTTGCTAGAGTTTTTCACTCCTGGTGAAGGGAGAAATTCCAGTATTCTTGGAGTTTACTACAATGTGTTGTTCTGAATGATATGGGAAAATAGGTTTTGCTTGACCTCGAGAGAAAAGCTACTGAATTCCTTGGTACTTAGAGACTGTAAAGTTGAAGGTGATCCAGTGTTGGGACTCCAGATGCTATCTACCATAACGACATTTTTCTTTCTTTTCTTTTATTCCTCTTGCAGACAGCACTGAGACTGCAAGGTCAAAATCTAGTCCCGAGAACTCCCAAGGCCAGAGCCGAATCCGGACCTTAAGCCAGGTCCGGGTTCTGGGCCCAGAAGATGATCTAGCAGGCATCTTTCTGCAGGTACTGGTATAATCTCTATCTGATCAGCTACTTCCCTGCAGAAGCTTTACAAAATCTGTTTCTCTTATACTTGCATCTTCTGACCCCTTCCTCCTGCGGTGTTTGCAGGCAATGAGGCGGCACCATTACAGCCTGGTGGAATTGATACTAGAAGGATTTTTTTTCTTGTAGTTTGAACATGATGTGGCTTTTGATCATGCCTAATACTTTCAGTGCCTACTAGCGTGTTAGTGTCTCTGCACCTTGTTTGTTTTGTGTATAGTGCCTTCCCTCTCAGCAGTGGATGGAGGATTTGTGAAATGCTCGCAAGGCCTTGATGGCAAAGCTGTGTGTAAACAGCATTTGTACTCTGGCTTGTCTGCTTGCAGAGCCTCCCTCTCTCCATTGACTCCAGAAGGAGCCTACAGGGAATTAAGGGGCCAAGTTCATTGCCTGTATTCCCTGGTGATTCCCCCACGGTGTCAGGATTGATAGTCATGTTGGGGTCGCATAGATGCTGCACCTGTTCCTGTACCAAGCACTAAAATATTGAAAAAACTCTATCAGAAGGTTCCAGTTAGCCCACAGTCGGTATGATTGTCCAGGGTAAATCAGTCCTCTGCTTCAGGATGTTTATTGTCTAGCAAATCCTTTCATTTGCTCTCATAAACATATTTCCTTCTGTACCCTACCAGCTTTTTCCACTAAATCCAGACCCACGATGGCAGAATTCAAACCTGCGCCCGCTTGCCCTGGCGTTACAGCAGGCGCTGGGGCAGGAACTGGCTCGCATCCGGCAGGGGAACACACAGGTGACCGGGATCACAGCACGGCTTCTCCAGGCAGTAGCTGCTCTGATGAACTCGCCACACAGCGGTGCGTTGGTGATGGCAATGCATCGTAACCACTTCATCTCCTGCCCACTGATGCGCCAGTTGTACCAATACCAGGTAAGCGGTGTAAGATGAGAATCTTTGTAGCGTTTAACGAAGAGGAGTGAGGAGGAAACGGGAAGTCTGCAGGGCATCTGCTCTGCTGTGTGCAGACCCTCTATCTGTGTAATGCTGGAAATGGAGCCTGAGGAGCATGAAACAGAAGGACTCAAGTTGCCTGGACATAGGCATCTGGAGACAGGCTGGCCACATTAGCCTAGCATTGCTGAGAATTGGTGCTTACATGCAGGTTTAGGGGTACCCTACCTAGTCTGGTAACTGTGCAGTACTGTGGATTTGCAGCGGTGGGTCTCGGTTGGTTTTGGGATCTGTGCTGTTTTGTAGCACAGAGATGTCTTGCAAGCTAGGACATTTGCAGACAACTTGGGAGCTGAAGTCTGTAATTCCTTAAAGAAATCTTCAGAGCAGGCTGCAAGTTATTCAATGAAATATCTCATTCCTTTCATCATGGTGAAAGAAGGCACAAAGTTACCCCTAGTTATGCTGGGAGAGGTATTGTGTGTATGACTGAGTCTTCTGCCTTGCATTTGTACGCTAGAAGCTGCTGCCTTGATTTGAGTGAGCTACGGTTCAACAGAGTAGGTGTGCTCTATGTATTCTGGCAGTATGTGCCACTATCTGCATCTTTGCTGCTATCTTTGTTGTATTCTTGAAGCATGTATAAGCAAGTCTCTTTGGCTGTTCTCCCCAGCGTTGCATGCCACAAGACACTGCCTTCTCCTCTCTCTTCTTCAAAGTCCTCATGCAGATGCTGCAGTGGTTGGAGAACCCTGCAGTGGAAGAGGGTCCTCTGCGTGCTCAGCTGAAGGCCTTTGCTGTGCAGTACTCATCAAGGCACAGGATCAGTGACGGTACTGGCATTGTGCAGCTTATGGGACTCAGAGTGGGGCAAGAAAGGGACAGAAACAAAACTGCACCCAGAGGAGAAAGTGGGGTGGGCTGCCTTTTAGAGAGGTATGCTCAGGAGTAGCGATGTTTTGTACTGTGCTATATAAACTCAGTGAGGATGCAGACAAGTGATTTAGCTGTGAGGGTTTGCAGTAGGCACCTGGTAGCAACACACCAAGCACAGCAGATCTTTCAGGGAAAACTTCCAATTGCTCAGGCCAGGAATTCTGTGCTAGCTGTAGTCCTGAAAAATGAGCATGCAAGAATGCCTCTGGAACAAGGTCACATCATGACTTGTAGAGTTGTTTATCATCTGCCACCTGTTGGGAGGAGGATTCTATAACCAAGTGCTTAGGCATGGAAATGGGTTTGTGGTTATAGAGTTTTCTCTTAGCCACATATCCCTGTAACGTGCAGACGAGCTGTCAAGGGTTTCGGTGGGAGTAAAATGGCAGCAGAGTGCAGTGTGTTTGTATGTTTGAGTAGTTGTGCCCTGGTGCCAGATGGGGCTTCTGTAGAAAGGAAGCCTGATGTGAGGGCTGGCTTGGTCCTGTGGTGCCAATGCTGTGATATCTTTGCAGTTCGAGGTGGCTTCTTGCACCTCACAGAAGCTCTGACTTTCCGTCGTGACCCTGACTTGATCAGCTCCACGGTACGTGCCATCATTGCAACCCTGAAATCAGGAGAGAAGTGCAATGTGGAGCCGGAGCTCATCAGCAAAGGTATGGCTGTCCTTCTGCTCTCCTTCCCTGTTGCAGCAGCAGGTTGAACTGCCAGCCCAGCAAGGGAGTGCCTAGTGTGCAGGCTGTGGGAAGCTGCCTTCTGCCTGGATCATAAAATGTGAACTGATCTAAACTTAGTCCTATCTTGTATCAACTCCTTCCCCTGCACTGGTATGTGGGTTTATAAACTCTGATGTGGGGCTGGGATTAAGCCTCTTGGCGAACTGTTGGTTTTCACTAACAAAATGAGAAATAGAAGCCTACTATCCCAAATAAAAATGGCTTCCCTCTTCCTTACTGAGCCAGGCTCTCAGAATGCTGGAGTGATCGCCTTTGTGATGTTGTTATGAGGTTCCATAGCTTTCACCACATCCTGAAGTTAGAGTAACATCTTTTTCCCTCTTCTAGTCCTTCAAGGTCTGATTGAAACTCACTCTCCGTACTTGGAGGAACTCCTGACTGTCCTCTTCTCAGCTACTGTTGAGACCACTGCCAGGTTTCCTGCAATGAAACCAATTGCTGTGGTGAGCTCCTTGTTGCTCCAGGACAAAGAAGAAACACCAGTGAAGAAGGAGCTGGACAGTTCCAGGTAAGTCTAGGCAATGATGGGAATTCACTGGTAGGTCTGGGTTCATGACATCACCACTGATACTGGCTTTGTTTTCTCCTCAGTACTGAAGCAGCTTGGCTAGGGCCCTCCTCTGGTCTTCTTAATGACTGGCTGGAGATGTTGGACCCAGAGGTGATCAGCAGCTGCCCTGATCTCCAGCAGAAGCTACTGTTCTCCTGGAACAAAGTAAGAGTTGTTGGGTAGAGGGACTACTGTGCTGAAACCACCTTTCTGGGGTACTGCCCTGCACCTGGAAACAGGGCAAGGGGTAATTTTATGTTTTGCCACGTGTTGCTATACCAGTTCCAAAGCAATACAGGCTGACTAGGAGGGGGATTCTGGTGCATCCTTCTCAGTGCAAGGCTTATGTTTCATCTTATCTTTGTATTTCCTCAGCTGTGTTCTTTTCAGGACTTGGAAGTGCATTACAGACACAACATAGTCCCGTAACAGCCCAGCCAGCTGTGTTTTCATTGGTATTTTTGCAGACAGATAAATAGCTTGCCCAGAAGTGCTATGCTGAAGCTAAGATTAAAACTGAATTTCATGGCTGATGCTATGTTCTGTTAGAAAGTACTGCAGTTCAAATCCTAAATCCACATGTTGTTTTCTGTGCTGTCTGCCTGCCTGGATCGTCATCCTTCTGTAATACACAGTATCTCCTACATCCACCTCGCAGCAAGGATCTGTTTATTACATCTCTTCCTTGTTTGGTTCTTTCAGGCAGGGTCCCAGGTGCCCTCCTTCCACCCATATCTCTTGGCTCTTCTCACTCACCAGTCCAGCTGGACCACTCTGCACCAGTGCATCAGGCTTCTGCTTTGCAGAAACCGGGAGCAAAGGTGAGTCTTGTTTTTTGGGCCTAGCAAGGAGTTTTGAGTTGGGCGACTCATTGTGTCTGAGGGAGAACAAACAGAAGCTGAGAACAAGAGCTGCCACGTTCCATGGTGCGTCTGCCAGGAGATGTAACCTAGCCAAAAACAGGCTTTGTGAGAAGGATGCTGATTTCAGTCATGCTGATTTGTGTACCTTGATATAAATACTACCTGCTGTTTGATGGAAGCAGCACATAAAGATTTGGCTGTATTCTAAACAGGAAGTGCTAATCGCTGGGTAATCCATCTAGCATTGCCCTTGTTGATAATCTTTATGAACATGGGGTTTGAAAGATGGCTTGGATAGCGAACTGACGGCAGTCTTTGTACCTGGCCAGACTCTGCTGGATCTTTTGGTTGTACTAAACTCCATTAACAGTCTTTTTCTAACCCCCTTCCTGGCATCAGGCTCCCAGTTCTGATCTCTGGAGCAGCCCTAGCTCTCAGCTTGTATATATTGCTATCAAATACTGAAGTGCCACTCCAGTAGTATCTTGCTTAAACTTGTTATGCTTATGGAAATGCTAACACCTAATAGTAGTAATTCAGGACATGACTAAACTAGCAATACTTCGAAAGCTGGCAGTACTTCAGTTTGTTTATTATTTTATTATTGATCTCTTGCTCACTAACAATTTCATTAATTTCTGCAATCCAGCATAACAGCCAGGATAGGATGTTCTGTACACTGGGACAGTAGGGTCACTGGTCTGATTGTACCAATTGTTTGTGTTGATGACCAACTTCTGGCCTTGTGGTGCAAGACTCCGTGTAGCCGCCACACTCTCGCTGAATGCCGTTTGTTCAGCTCCATATCCTGTGCTGTGCTTATTGCAACAAATATTTAGTCATAATCTGGGAACAGAACCAAACCCCTTCTCGGGGCTTAATGGATCCTATTTTTACTTTTGCAGATGTTTCTTTCTTCACAGTACTCATCATGTTTAGAGATGCTAGCATGTGTTTGTGTGCTGCCAGAGGGCTGCGTTGACTCTAATTGCAAATCTGTCTTCTTTTGTCTTCTGGCAGGTTTGATCCAACTGCATCCTTGGATTTCTTGTGGGCCTGTATTCACATTCCTCGCATCTGGCAGGGAAGGGACCAAAGAACTCCTCAGGTAGTGGTCCAGTATCTTCCAAGATTCCTCTCTGGATGGAGTGAGAGGCAATGCTTTCACAATGCCTGATTTTTCCATGGCCCAAGAGATGGCTGGAGTGATACAGTTGCAGCATGCCAAGTTTGCTGCCTGTACCTCAGCTGGTTACTTAGCTGCTCTGCTATGTTACATATTACAGTGGTAGTTTTCAGTCCAAAAAGCTGATATGAACACACATAAGTTTGCCCACTTGGCATTTCCTCTGCAGCTCCTGCAGCAGTTGCCACAATATCTGTTAAACATCTAGGCACAAGGCTACAGTGGTGAGCACACTAAAACCCAGTGTGGAATAATTCCCATTTCACCAAGAAATGGGGGTTGCATCTCTTCTCCACAGAGAAATTTCTTTGGTTTGATGACTGAATTATGGTTTCTGTCCCATCGCACCTGCTGACTTGGAAGTAAATGAGTTCAGAAGTAGAAGAGGGGTGAAGAGATTTCCTTTGGGGCTGTGATGCATGCTTTCAGAGCTCTCGATATGGGGCCATTCTTAAGTCTAGTCCTAAGAGATGTTCTATTCCCGTTGGGGAAGGTGCGACTAGAAGGAACTAAAGATCTAGGGATTCAGTTTGGATTCATTTTGGGTGTTCTCTTGCATTACAGAAGCGCCGTGAGGAATTTGTGCTCCACCTAAAGGCATCAGAATTGATCAGCATGGTGGAGCTGATCCTGGCTGAAGCAGAAACCAGATACCAGAACACAGAAGAGGCTTCCTGCACACTCATCCAGTCTCGACTGCCTTTGTTGCTCAGTTGTTCTCATGGGGACCTTGAGAACATCAAAAAAGTAACGGAGTATCTGACCAGCTGCATACAGCAGTGGGGAAGCAGGTGGGGTTGCAAATGGGGAGCACTATCTACTCTAATTGTAGTTACTTGTCATTTTAAGCGGTACTTGGACCGCTTAAAGGTGACTTTAAAGTTACATTTCAAGGCCCTTTTGCTTTTAGGACTTCAGGACAAAATGCTTGCCATGTTTTTTGTGGGGGGTGTGGGGGTTTTTTTGAGTCAATGGTTATTTTTAATTAGCAGTTCTTAACGTGGGATCATTTTAAGTGGTACTTGGACCAGGAAGGTGACTTTAAAGTTACATTTCAAGGCCCTTTTGCTTTTAGGACTTCAGGACAAAATGCTTGCCATGTTTTTTGTGGGGGGTGTGGGGTTTTTTTTGAGTCAATGGTTATTTTTAATTAGCAGTTCTTAACATGGGATTTCTTGTCTTCTCATCCCTTGAATCACTACTTATAATGCATCCTGCTTCTTACCATTACAATTGCTCTCAAAGCTGAATGGAGACTAGATTGTTTCCTAACAGCTGTGTTAGCACTGTGGAAAGAACAGGAAAATGGTATATTTGTGGCAGTGAAACAAACTGACCTAATCCTAACCTCACTTATGGTGGTGTTAGAAAAAATACTGAATAATCTCAGTTGCCATTGCATTGTACTGCCTCCCAGTATAGACTATGCCAGGGATCTGCGGAGGGCAGGTGTGTAGAGAACAGGCTGGCTAGTCTGAATAGTGCTTCTGTCTACTCTTCCAATTGGGATGGCAATGACCATGAGTACCATGTGCAGGAACTCCTCACTGGAGATGTAAGCAGAGCTTTCTTGTCCTGTGCCCATTTGTAACTGCAGTTTTCCAACTCCAAATGGCCTAATGATGGATCCCCGTAGACTGTGGATGGATCCCTGTAGATTGTGAATGATGTGAGTAGTTCAGAAGAAGAAAAGACTGAAAAAACACTGATTCAGATTAGCAGTGGCTGCTCTTTTACATGGTCTGTTTGCCATATGCAGGAAGGCTGTTACTAATCTGATGGGTCTGGAACGTTTGCTGGTTGAACTAATGTAGTAACCTGTGGCTGACCTCTCCCTTTTTCCTTCAGCTCTGTGGGAAAATGCTGCCAGGACCTTCTGCTTCAGATATACCTGCAACTACCCGAGCTCCTTGTGCCTATGCCTGAGATGCTTCTCACTAGTGAAGGAGCCAGAGACAGCAGCACTTGCAAGGTAAAGTTAGAGGCATAGGAAAGCCCCTATCCAGTTATGTACCCACAGTGGATGCTACCTTGATGCCCAGACTAAAAGGAGAGGACTGGCAGAAGCTTCCTCGGTCACTTTGGTTTCTTTACCTTGCTCTTCTGTTGCCCCTTCCCTGCCTGCACTCTCAGGCGCAGAGAGTTCAGGTGTTTATTTTGCAGAGTCCTTCTTTAAAATAGTATAAGCTCCACAAGCTTCTGTGTGCCAAAGGCTTCTGTAAAGCACAAGTGTGCAGGCGTCTGATCCTTTGATGTCTGTAGGGACTGTGGACTTCAGATCCTGTGCCAGCTGGAACGTTGCATCTGCTCGCAGATTCTACCTGAAAATAATTTCTGTTAACCCCCTCTGTAGTTGGGAAGGAATTAGGAAACACTGCTGAAGAGCCAGGGGCTCGATTGTGCTTTAAACTTCTTAACTGTTTACTCATTACTTTTTCTTCTAGCTCGATGCCCTGGTTCACAGATTCATTAACCTCCTTGCAGACACCAGTGACTCCAAGTCATCAGAAAGCCGCGTGTGGGATGCCAATATGGCCTGCAGGAAGCTAGCTGTGGCTCATCCCATCCTACTTCTTAGGTACGAATGTTCCCTTTCACCCTCTGTGTGGCTGGCATACATTGAAAAGCATCCACCCGTGTCCTGGAAGAACAAACTTGCAGCAATCATGATGATTGTGACAGAATCCACATTCACGTACAAAAGTCTAGAGAAAGGGCAGCGAAGTCCTATCTCTTATAATGAGACAGCACCTCTTTCGGCTCCATGTCTGTCTGGAAACAGTCCTCTTAGAATTGGAGACTAGAGAACAGAACATGTGTGGGAAGTGGGGCTTGCTGATTCTGTGGATACAGGGATCAAATCTAGAACCCTGGAGAGATAAGGGACGCTTCCTTTCAGGAATTGAGGTGTAAGAGCGTGTAACTCTTTCTAGGAAGAGACTAGATCTGGATTTTCTTCTGTTTCGCGTTTCAGGCACTTGCCAATGATTGCAGCACTGCTGCACGGCCGTGTTCACCTCAATTTCCAGGAGTTCAGGCAGCAGAACCACTTGACCTTCTTCATCCACGTCCTGGGGATCCTGGAGCTGCTCCAGCCGCAGGTCTTCCAGAACGAGCACCAGGCGGCACTATGGGACTGTCTCCTGTCCTTCATCCGTCTGCTGCTGGTAGGAAAGTCCCTGCTCCCCCTCCATGCTCGGACTGCCAGCCACTAGAGGGAGAAGCTCATAACGCAGGGCCAGCCCAGCTCTCTCCCATTTGAAGGGAAAACCTTCATATACCTAAGAACAAAAAAGTGTATCAAGTACCTTGGAAAGCTTAAAGAGGAGGCAGGAGATCATACTCCCTGACTCCCAGAGGTGCAGGATGGGGCAGTGCATCATTGCTTTTTTTGTTAACTCTCATCTTCTTCATCCTTTCTCAGAACTACAGAAAATCGTCGCGGCACCTGGCTGCCTTCATCAGCAAGTTTGTCCAGTTTATCCACAAGTACATCACATGCAATGCCCAGGCAGCTGTCTCCTTCTTGCAGAAGCACTCGGACCCACTCCAGTAAGCTTCCTTACTCCAGTTAGCCCATGGTTAGCTCATGGAGAACTTGAGCTGTCAGACTGCTGTGAGCTAATCAGACAGAAGACAGCACGAGGATGTGACAAAATAGCTATTAATATGGCACTTTTTCACCCTTAGCTCCCTTAAGTCTGTGTTAAGATGAGCAACATATCCCTTTTTATAGGTGAAAATTGAGCCCAAGGAAGTCAGATGATGATTTCGACTCACATAATAGCCTACATGTCCTATTGAGGCATTGTGGTGCCCTGTAGTCATTTCCAGAGGGCCAGCCAGAGAGTCTTTTCCCTGGGCAATGGCTGCAGGGTCCCACCTGCAGATATGGGAAAAAATGCATTTGAGTTCCGGTTACGATGAAAGGGAAAATCTTGTTTCTGCTTCTGAGAAACTATTCATTTTGGTGTACATATATGTGCTCTTACTTGTCCTCATGCCCTTACTGCTGTTGAAAGCTAAACATGCCATCTCTTCCCCCAGTGACTTATCATCAGACAACAGTGACCTAGCAATGTTGAAGTCCCTCCTGGCTGGGCTGAGTCTGCCTAGTAAGAGTGGCATCTTGGACAGGGGCTCTGATGAAGAGAAGGATGGTGAGTCTGAGTCGGGGAGAAGATTTATCCCAGCTGGTGAACCTGCAGTATGTTTTGGAGCACAGATGCTTTTATGGGCTGTATGCTGTGCTTGTTCTTCTCGTAACAGCCCAGCGAAAGGGTATTTAGAGTGGAGAATGGCACTTGTATACTCAGCAATTTGGAACCAGTATCTGGGATGGGTTAATTTGTTTTCCTGTGAGTGGTATCACGACTGGAGCGGAAGAACAGCTCTTAACAAGGACAAGTTTCATTGTTGTGGATTTTGCCTTCCTCAGCCACACTTCAGGATTGACCTGTTAAGAGACCCTAAGGGTGCATCCACTTCTCCACTGTTTTCTTTACAACTTGCATGGGAAAATTATTCAGTATTAAAACAGCTCAGGAAGGTTCCTTCTCTTTGTGTCAGCTGAAGGGTACCAGAAGATGCAGAGAGGCTAGAGACAGTGTGAGAGCCAGGAATTATATTACAGTATTGCTGGTCAGCTCATGATACACCACTATACTGGTAGGGAATACTGGAGCTGTCTCCCTCTTAAAACTACATAGACTGTCAGGAGTGACTTGTTCTCTCTCTCTCTCTCTCTCTCTCCCCCAGATGAAGCAGCAGCTGGCTCTCTCCCCCTTGTCAGCATGTCCCTTTTCACTCCTCTCACGCCAGCTGAAATGGCCCCATATATGAAGAGGCTGTCTAGAGGCCAGACAGTTGAGGGTAAGTGAGGACCTGCAGAGCTGTACAAAGACGCAGGGCAAATGCAGACAGATGCCAACCCTGTTGCTTATCTGTCAGCTACAGGCTAGTTTCCTGTTTCAGTCTTGTGTTTGGAAGTCTCCAGCAGTTAGGATGTGGTTTTGTTTTGGATGAACTTGTCCATAACCTTCTCTGATTCTGTGACAGAGGCTTCCTATGATGCTACTCATCAGCATCACTTAGTTCAGCAGTGCTGCAACTGCCTCTGCTTTGGATCTTGTAAGTGCTCTGGGAGATAATATGAGTAATTCAAGGAGCGCTGCAGTTCATGTCGAGCCAGGTCTGGAATGCCATTTTTTTTATGATATAAAATTACTAAACGGATAAGAAGCAGGATTTTGTTAGAAATCCCCAAATGGCCTTCATGGAAGAAAATCGTGTTAATCTGGCATATGGGAACAACATGCTTCTTCTCCAAAGGTCTTCTGAAATCACAGGTGTCCGGTATTCAGACCTAAGTTGTGGTATTGGGGTGACAGTTTTCCTTCACCACTAGAAATAGGGGGAAGAAATCCTGCCTGGACACTGTTTTTAAAAGCGGCTTTCTGTGAAGATATTTCAGTTACAGAAGAAGGTGTTCTGGAATTGAAACTTCACACCCCACTTCACTCCTTCCCCTGTCTGAGGCATGACAGCGCTGGTGACCTCTCTCTGGGCAGGTTGGGATGTCCTGATCTGGCACGTGACCTACCTGTTCTCATCCGTTTTGAAGAATGCCTATATTACTCTAGCTCTGTGTGCAGGTGGGAAGACTTGACTGCTTAGGAGATTGGATTTGTAAAAAAAGGATCAGTGAATTTTAGTCACCCCTGTCAACCTGTGTCTTCCACCAGACATCCTGGAGGTGCTGACAGACATTGATGAGATGTCCAGACGGAGGCCAGAAATTCTCTCCTTTTTTGCTGTGAGTATTAATGTCTCAAACTGCCACTGGACGGAAGAGATTCTTTTCACCAGAGTCTGCGTTGCACAGCCAGCTTAAGTACTACCCTTCCTCTTCTTTTTCGGTGGTTGTTGCAGCATCTTAGGAGAAATTTATCTTCAGTTAGGCCTTCTGACAGCAGACGGTATTTACTTCCCTGCCGTCTTCTCTCCATTGCATACTGGGTCTGCCATCATCCAGTTTAACTTCTTTTTATGTCAGACGAAAAATTAACTCTCTGTCCTCTTCCCACTATTGGGGCAAAGAGAGAGCAGAACAGCTCTATCGAAAACACTGGAGCCTGGGGAAAACTCAGCTGTCCCACGTGAAATAAGATTACAGAAGGGTACTTTAAAGTATTCAAATACAGGATAATCCTTCTTACAGAGAGGGATTTTCTGGCTCAGCCAGTACCTGCTGGATGTGTGTTGGGCTGGATTGGTGCTGGAGGGGTACTAATGCATGTCTGAGGAGTTTGTGCTCCCTGGATAGCCCTGTGATCCTAATTTATGCATCTTTCAGACAAACCTACAGAAGCTGATGAGTTCATCAGAGGAGTCATGCCGAAATCTGGCCTTTAGCCTGGCTTTGCGCTCCATTCAGAACAACCCCAGGTGAGGACCACTGGAACTCAGGCTATCCCGAGTCACTGATGGGCACTCACAGGCTGGCCATCTTGCATGCCTGTTGGTGGTGATCTGGACTGTCCTGACACTATCATGTTTTACTCCTAGCATTGCTGCAGACTTCCTTCCCACCTTCATGTACTGCCTTGGCAGCCGAGACTTTGAGGTGGTTCAGACAGCACTGAGGAACCTGCCTGAATACACCCTCCTTTGCCAAGGTAAGTTGATATCTGCCACCTTTGGTGCATGCTTGGCCTCACAAGGGTCAAAGCTGGGCTCCTGTGCTGGGAACAGCCTCCCTGGGAAGTTGCCAAGGGTCAGTGTTGCCTAGACCAGGCCGTCAAACATGCAGGTGATCTATATCAATAGTAGCTTTGGTCTGAGCATCACAGGGGAGATTTGTCATAGACAAGGGAGGCTTCCTTGAAGTAGATTTGCTCCCTTAGGATTTTCTCTGAGGTGTGATCCCTCACGTGATCACATACCCACGGACCTATTAGAGGGTGGCTTGTGCCATGTTCTTATGATAGGAGAGAATTTCTTGCACAGCTGCAAATGTTCATCCCAGTGTTTGTTGGTGGATTGCTCTTGCTGTATGTTGGAGCTCTTGGGTCAGTCCTCATGCTGTCTTTCCCTTTCTCAGAGCATGCAGCAGTGTTACTGCACAGAGCCTTCCTAGTGGGGATGTACGGCCAGATCGACACCAGCTCTCAGATTTCAGAGGCCTTGAAGGTTCTGCACATGGAGGCCATGATATGAACTTGTGGTTCTGGGAGCTCCACTTCCAGAGGAATTAATTTAACTGGACTCATCAGCTGCATTGAAGCCCTGTAAGAAGACAGTGTATTTCAACCCATGTGCTGGAGGATCAAAGAGGTGATGGAGCAGGCCAGACTGTGCTGGAAAAGGAGTGTGCTGACTGAAGATCAGGAAGGGGCAATGATCGATCTGTCTGGCTAAGACACCATTATTATGAAAAATCTCCTGAACATTGTGTCAAACAGGGACCACTTCCTTCGTGGGGTCTTGGGGCAGTGGCTGTCAGTTTGTTGTTTGGTTTTTTTGTCTCTCCAAGAAGGCAGAGCTACTGGGAGAGCAGAAGGGAGCGCTGGCCCTTGCATTTGAAGTGTCTGCACTCTCTGTGTTGGAGGAAACATGCAGATCTGTGCAGGGGGAGAGACCACTTTGTTTTCTTGGGGGCAGGTGGGGTTTTTTCTTTTTTAATTAAAATTCTCTTTGTTTCCATTGTGCCTTTCTCTGTTCCATGCTGCCTTGGGTGTAGCTTGACATCCCTCTCTCCCTGTTCTTCAACCTCTTGTTATTCTAGACAAAGCATGTCTGGAAGACTTGTCTCCATGGCCAAATGCTCACAGAGCTGTCTTGGCCTTTTACAGTATATGCAGGAAATGGAAGAGGTTTAGAAGGGTCAATGGGGTATAATAGATGAGTTTGGTCAGCAGCAACTACAGACAGGACAACTTTTAAGAGGTTCCTTAGAAAACTTTTCATTAAAAACAAATTAAGCAAACTTCTTGGTACATCTGCAAACATCCCAGCAGCTGGCTGCTGTCACAGTGGAGTCTTTGAACAAGCAGCTGGGTTTCCTTTTTGGGATCCACCAGTTCCTCCCTGTGACTCTTCTGACCACTGCTCTCTGGTCCTTGCCTGCTGGTAGGGGTGATGGCTTATTTGCCAGCTGTCATTTGAGGACAGAAAAGGAGGTGTCTTCCTTCCCTCTGCTCCAGAGAAATAACCGCTGCATATACTCATTCTCCAGTCTCACTTAATTCTAGTCACTGGTTTGCTTTCATGTCGTTTGTCTCTATTCCTCTGACACTCCACTTGTTAGTAGAGAATCTTTGTAGTATTCTAAAGACAAAGATCCTGAAGGAACTTTATAGATAGCTGTAAATAAGTCTGTATCTCCTTGTTGGTGGCAGGGACAGTTGTGACCTCATGGGTGGCTGGGTGGAGAAATATTGTCCATTCTTGCAAATGAGGAGTGCCACAGCTGAGCACTTTCGCTAATGTGTCAAAATATGAATGAATGTCTGGCTGGCTTTGCAGAGAGAGGGAGGAGAAAAGGGAGAGCTCTGAACCTCCCAACAACTGTACGTAGCCTTGCCTTTATTTAAAGAGATTAGAGCCATCACTTAAGGATGCAACATGCTCTTTTCCTCAGCAGCGTCTGCTTCGCATCCGGAGCCACTACTGTGGCAATTAGCTACATATAAATTATGGGGAGGAACACCTGAAGAAGATCAAGTCAGTGAAATGGTTTTCCTGAGGGGCTCGGTGACAGCAGGATTAATGCCTGTCTAAAGGGTTCCCAGTGAGATTACTAGCTCCTCTTACCTTAGTCCCTTATCAGACATCATTAAGGTACTGCTCAGTTTGTCAGAGCAGGGAGGTAGTTCTTTTGGTGCTGCTGTGGGCCTAGAGCAACTGGGAACTTGTGGGACTGGCTGGGAAAGGGCTTTTCACGGGACTTTGAATCAAGGAGCAAGGAAAATTTCTTGAAACTGTTACCACACAAAGATAGTGAGTCAAACGAAGTAGTGGTGCTTTGGTGAAGATCCTCCCTGCAGGTGGGCCTTTCCAGAAACCCCACTCCAGGGCTGTAACTAGAAACATTTATGGACAAAAACAAATTGCGTGGTTGGCCCCAACTTCTTCTCTCTCTGTTGGGCAATGCCTGCTGTGAGCAGATCAGTTCCAGGAGACCTGGTTTGGAGGAGTTGGGGATATTTGGATGTTGGCAGAACTTTTTAATGACCCCTCGCAGCAGGACAGCCGTGCTTTGCAGAGCAGTGGGAAAAGAGGTGTGTTTGAGAAGGTGGAAGGAGCATCTCTTTATCAGCAGCAGCAGAAACCATCTTTTGGGAGATCAGGAAACAAAACCAAAGGGAGGGAGAGTGGGTGGAAGTTATTCTGCAGAGCTGGGCCTTCCCATAGATCTCCCAATACAAAAAGCACCATCTATGATTTGTTGATCTCTCTGCTTTTTGCTGTATTGAAGGTTCCCACCATCCTCCTCTTGGACCCAGTGGAGCTGAGCAGGTTGCCCTGGCTTGGAGCATGTCACTGAAAATAGATCAGGGCTGAGAATGAGACGCCCGGCTGTGCAGAGACAGCTCAGGGCAGGAGCTCGTCCCTCCTGTCTGCAAAGGCAGCCATGACAGCTCTGAAACAGTTAGTGACGGCGTTACTGATGCCTTGACAGTCACCTGCCTTTTAATAAGTGCTCTGTAACTTTCATCTCCACCTGGCTGAGCACCTTCTCTCCTCCCATCCCTGCTGAGCTCACAATGTTATCCTTCACAGGTCTGCTGGGCTCCTCCCAGCAGCTGGGGCTATCTCCTCTGTCTTCAAGGAGAGCTGGTGCCTTGCTCAGAAGAGGAGTGGTGAGGAGGTTTGCAGGGTTGTTCCTGCCCAAGCTCGTGGGGCCCCTATGACTCACCCAGTGGAAATCACTGCTCCCGTCTGCGTTCCAGACAACACGTCCCAAAGTGGTGCAACATCCCTGCTTAGGCACTTCTCCACCATGATCTGCTGTAGTCAAGAGCTTCCTAGCAGACTCATAGGCTGCCAGGGCTGGTGTCTGAGGGAGTCCACGTGGGGCTGGGGAACGTGCTCAACACTGGCTCGGGGGGAGGCTTTTTGTCTCCTTGGATACACTGGGAATCCCATCCCAGCTCTAGGGGAGGCACGAGGGGAAAGGGAAAACTGGTTGCAGCCTTGTTCAGCATCCTGTGGCTGCACCCAGCTCAGGTCAGGGCTGGCACAGTCCCTGTGCATCAGCTGGCCCTGTTTTGGTGTCTGCATGGCTGGTGCTGGGCAGAGGTGGTAGAGGGCTGGAGAGCAAAGGGAGCCCAGGAGGAGCTGGGCAGTCCTGGAGCAGCCGAGGGGCTGCAGGGCCCTTTCCCCTAAGCACTGGCTAGCCAGGGCCAGGGAGGGATGCCAGAAAAC